CGAAATGGTCTCCTTCCAGAATTTTGTCAGCGCCTTGCCATGAGCACAGCCAAAACGCCTATGGAGTTCCTTACGGATATGCAGCGAGTTTCGCACGTACTGTATTTGGAGGCCAAAAACAGTACGTACGACGACTAGCACTACGTCATGGCAAGCGACTGCACACGGTGCGGGTCGCAGAATACGGCCGGGATCACGGATCTTGACTGGTACGATGTGTCGTGGCTGGAAGCGATACAGTCGTACGCAGTGCAGCCGATTACGCGGAGGAGCAGTGTCATTGTCACGTTTGGTGCATCCGGCATCGTCACGGACGATGTTGCAGTATCGGCCAGTATGCCGAGGAGGACAACGAAGGCTGCTGTGTGGTGAAGCCTTTTGGTGGGTATTGAATACGTTGTCCATTGTGTTAGTTATCTGCAGGGATCAGCTGGACCTACGGCAGCCACGGAGCGTGTCGCGAAGTGTCCGAATCAATGCCGGCTTACCGAGATGCAGGATAGTTCCATATCCTGGAAACCCCCATGCAGAGTTTACGAAATGGGACGTGGATCCCCTTGGCTCCGCCGGGAATGGAGTGCGGAACGGCGACAGTCTGATCAGCTGAAACCGTGGCCGGCGTTACTCAGATGTCCCGGAAGCGAGACGCTTTTGGAACAAAGCGGTGTACTGTAGTGAGTCACGCGCGCGTAGCGGTACAGTGGAGGAGCCAGTGGTCGGTTGTGGTTGCCGACCGGTAACCGATTACGCACCCGGTTACACGCTGAATGTCCGTTTGACGTTCAGCTGCGGGACGTTGGACGCAACGGTGCCCAAATGCGATGCCAATTTTGATTAATTGGCCCAGTGATGGCGATTCCCCAACGCCACACTTTGTCTCCAGCCAGCGCGGAAAAGCCGAGGGAAGCCTCAACCCTCTCATTATGGAAACGTTCCATGCGGTTATTTGCAAACGTTGCAAGCGGGCAGATGTTCGTGATTCGAATCGCCTACGATCACCTGGATGGACCGGATGCCACCGGCATTGGCGCTTCCGGTTGCGAGGACGCAACCGTTAAGGAGGAGAGAGTGTTACGCCGGTATTCGCATAGCGGTCATTTGAAAGGCGACTCTGTTTATGAGCTTTATTGCTAAACTTGTGTTTGTGCATGATGCGTTTTATTACAGCTTGTTTAACTGCGTGTGTGTGTGCATGAATGAGCACGTTATGGCTTTGGCCATAACGCTTAACAATCTAAGAGATTGTTCTCATGTTTATTGTCATCATGAAAGTTACCGAACTTTCTAGAATCGTTGCAACACGGTTGCACTTGGATATAAGGTGTTGCTTTGCTGTGTATGATATCGATCATTCCAGCGATCGGTCTACCATTTCCTGTTGCTTTCCATCTCATTGTTATTCTTGCTTGTTGTGTGATTAAAGTTATAGTTAAGAACTATTACTTTCACTTTCCGTCAGCACAATATACGAGTATATTACGCAGTCATATACGGCACTGGCCCCTATTACTGTATAGCCTAGTTTGGTCTAATTTGAGTGGAAACGGGAAATTCACCTCAACATTTTTGATTCTATGTATATCATAATTAAATTTTGCTAGCACGATCCAAAACTACTGTATAGTGCGGCGACACTTTTGGCAGGACACCCACTTTGGCCACCAGACATTTGGGTCACTTAACAAAAAGTAAAAAAGCTTAAGAAAACCAGCAACTAGGTACACAGTCCGGCAAACATGCCCTACGGACGCATGCCCCCCATTGCCACTTTCACCAACATGTTCAGTTGGTAACCCTGTGGTTAGACTGAGGCATAACTTTACGGGAAACCTGGGTTTTCTTTACTCAATTGGTGGCATTTTAGAAAATGTAACCGGCATTACCAAATCCAACAATTCAGGCTGCATTCAGCAGCTAATACTATCAGGCAGTACGCATAGGCGCATTTTGTGGCGGTGGTCGCGCGTAGCACCGCATAAGCCGACACCACATAAATCCTGAGGAGCCAAATAGGTTGATTATGGTCTTCGCGGTTTCGAAACATATATGTTTTCGCAAATGCGACGCTAATGCAGTCCGGGCGAGAGGTCGAGGTGTCATTGCACCACTCCATGTGTCGTTCCACTTGCCATTGTACGACAAATTCCTCTAATAATACCTGTTTTACGCCCTGGCAGTCGAAACTTTCGGCACATTCGGTTCGGATTTTATGGCGCTCATTCGTTTCGCTGGCAGAAAGATTCGCGACGTGCCCTCGTTCTACTGCGTTTTTGAAGCAGAGATTAACCCGTTGACGGGCATTGGTGTCTGGAAACGACAAGAGGTTTTTGATTTTTTTCCCAGCGATCGGCAACAGTTATTCGTTGTCCCATAACGTATTAAGCAAAAGGGGACTTTAAAGCAGCAATAAAAACACAATTTGAACTTGTGTCTTAAGTTAATTAAGAACGATAGGTGCGCGAAAATCGCTAATTTTGAACTTTCTGACGTCTCGTAGGTCTTGCTAATTAACTAATTAGTGGATGAATAATTAAACCCGAGATAAATCAACAAGGTACAACTGGCAACCCTCTATTCAAAAAATGTCTTACACTGAATCTAAAAGTTGAACCATAGATGACCACAGTCCCTCAAAAACGTGTGTCGTCTGCCAACACCATTGCCCGTGAAGGGTTGTGAATACACGGGCGGGTGCACTTTCGACAGATTATTTTCATTACGTAAACGGAATAAGTTACTAGCGAATTTTAGATTTCACAAAACAAGTTCCGTACAGTTCGACTTTCGTGTAGGCGTTGGCGTTACGGGTTGATTTACGTCCGTTCGCGACGTAAGGCGCCGTAACCCAACGTCGTTGGCTGACGCGTAAAAACTATCTGCCTTACGCGGATCTGTACAACGGCTCAGCCATATGGCTGAGCGATAAGCCAGCGTATGCTGCCTGTGGATCTTTTTTGTGTGCTCTAACCGCCTCCCCGCTAGCAGGTTGGTCACGCTCTCGGCACTCTCGATTCGATTTATTTTTCAGCTGTACGTCACTGCAAGTGTGCGTCCGTACAAGCATTTTAAACGATGTTCATTCTGCTAACGTACTGTTTATGTTACGCAGTACCTTCTAGTGTACGGAGCCTAAACCATGTGAAATCTAAAATTCCCTACTGTCGGTTCGGACGCAAAACATGCGCCATGTGGTTTTGGTTGTCGAAAGCTGGCAGAAAATGGGGTTGCTGAACGGCACCCCGGGCGGTCGGAATGGTGGTCCTGATGCGTTAGTCCTGACTGTAATAAGTGTAATTCTACCGCCAGTGTACGTAGCACTGTAAATGGCTGCACAACCCTGCACTCTGCTGCTCTCTGCCTTCGATATGAGTACCGAACACCGCTTGGGCAAGCGAAGCAGCGCAGATTTAAAGAAACAGGCGAATTTTGAGTTCTGACCAGTCTCGGGCGACAGCAAGCTGTAATGACCACCTTAGTGATGTTGACCTTTGCGATAGCTTTATGTAGGTTACATCCGGCCGATAATGTGTTAGAAAAGTGCGAATGACCACTAATATTTGGTTCGGCGCCAATCGCCTTTGCAGCTGGATTATACCCGCCGCTTTCCCCATTCCCACCACTGCGGCTATACCAGGAAACGTGCAAGTCCGAATGATGCACGCAGTGTAAAGGCGGCTCGGCGTGTTTAAAAAATAAAATGCAGCAAGTGCAATGTTAAATTGCACAAAGGCTGCTTCTTGAAGTGCCGTATGAGAGAGGGATGAAAGTTTGCGAAGGAATATTGTCTATCGCTTGTTTTCTATATTGTTTTGTATGTGTAGTAGTGGTCAAAATGCAAGGAAACGCTTTTTAGCAGTTTTTAAATTTTTGCTGACCAGTGGTCAAATTGTTGACCACTTCTATACTCCTGTTTTAAATTACTTTTTTTGAGCCATTTAATGAAACCTTTGTTTTAACTCTATCCCTATCAGACTAATTATTACAAAATTAGGCGTTTTTATGCTGTAGACCGTCCATGGGCATTGGCGTTGGCAAACGACATAGTCATCACCGCTGACCTATGGTCAGCACAAGCTCGCAAAAAATTCCCATTCTTAATTGAATTTTTTCATTGGGAAATCCCGATTTTCAATAGGAAACGCGCACTCCTTCGGGTACCGCCCGCTGGAGGGTTAAGTCTATCTGTAGTGAAAGGAAACGCCGCTGCTGTGTTGGGTACTATGAATATGCGTCCTAGAATGTCTGATGGCAATAACGATTTTGGTTGTTTCTTTAACGTTTAAATTTGGATCATTTTAAGTAGTATTACGCGAATGCATATTTTGTAATATCGATCGATGGCCTTTGCCGAATAAAGAGAATGTCAATTCCTCTAACCGGAATCAATGAATTAGTGTAGTCAAAACGAAGCAAGAATTATTACGATGGATTAATATGATTATTACACATAGTGATTAATATATTGCGAAATACAGTACCGATCCGTTTGGATGGATCATGGGTAAGCCGCTCTAACGCTTACAGTAAAGTTCAACTTTAGATAAAATAAAGTTGGACTATTTTTCAGCTTTATATCTTTTTGTTCACCACACTGCGTATGTACGTAATAATACAGTTATGACAGTATAACTGCAGGCATGCTTCTTCCGACTACTGACCAGTAACACGCTTACCCATGGGCATGATTCATCCAGATTCCAAACGGATCGATACTGTAGTCGTACTGCACAAGTGCATCCCCCTCTGCTTACCCGGCACGCATGCTTAATTTAGACCAGTCTCACTGAACTGCGCCATGTCGGCGTACTGAACAGGAGCGCGTAAAAGCAGCCGTTGAGACGGCGGGTGAAGCAAACGCACGTCCATGCTTATTCCATCGACATCAAAATTTAATGGTGTTAGCAATTCAATAAGCATTGCACGACACGGCAGGCTGGACTGTTAGTATTATTTTATTGCGGATCGCTCTACCACTACACGTATTCAGGTTTCAGAGCAAAAAAAGAAAACGAATTTAACAAACTACCACATTGTGCTGTCAAGTGTCACGGATTTTCTTGCTGTCGATTTAAAACAGCACTAATTTTGCGTATTTGCGTACAATCTGTTGCGGACTAGTCCCACAATGGAGATCCTTCTACCAAACTTCCCACCAACGCGTCCCGAAGTTCCGTATTACTCCAAATATCACAGTGTATTCTCAACCGAGGGCGTTGCCATGACGTATCCCCCGTTTTGCGAAAACATTCCACTGGGACAACAGCTGGAAAACAATAAGGTAGGTTTCTTGGTACAGGTTATACAAAATTAATAGCAGAGATAGTGCATGGGCTTAATTATCATGAAGTGAAACCTGACTGGGCGTGCTAATGTTATTCGAATGCTGAAAAAATTACAATTTGTTTTTCCGTGTGACATAGCCAAGAATTTTCAATGTATTATGATCTCTGATATTCTCGGCCATTATTCTAGTCTTTTTTATATACAGTAAAACGTCCTCGTACGTACACTCCCAAGATACGTACACCTCTCACTTAAGTACGAAAAATTCTGTACCGAAACTCTCCGTAGACTACAGTACAGGGGGGAACCTCTACGTGACGTACACCTCTACGATGCGTACACGTACACTTTTTCTCGGTACCGCTTAAGCACTAAACTGTACACAATCACCTCGAACATACGTACACTGGCGAGTCAGAATTTGATTTTTTAAAATATCCGATGGGAAAATCGTGAAAAAACAAAGAAACCAGCTCAAAATTGTAGGTTTTCTTTTGTTCTGAACTGATTCGGACGATGTTTTCTGTTCGAAGTGTGTGGGAGAAACTTTTCCGCCTGCTTATATGCTGTAAAAAGATAAAAATTTCTGTGAACTAATGCAACATAATTACATTTCAGAATTGCACGCTGTGTACAGTGCAGTTGCATGCAGTATACTGAGCACTCCACAGTGGGGCAGTGCCCTCATTATACAGTCGCCCCCCCAGGGGGGCTTGGGGGTGGCGATTCTATGTTACGTACACCTCTGAGTTACGTACGAAATTTTTTTAACGGAGGTGTACGTATCTTGGAGGTTTCACTGTATAAGCAAATTTTCAGTACATTATATTGGTTTACTGAAGACTGTTTCAAAGATTTTTTATTTGTATTTTCCTTTATTTGTGATTATTTATTTGTTTGTATTTTCTTTGCTTGTATTTTGTATTCATTTTATTTTTGTATATAATTTTTGCATTGGCAAATGCCAATGCGAATTGGCATTTGGGTTACGGATTTACCGCTAACCACAGTCTGGCGACATTTCTCTAAAAAAGCGCCGTTGCCTGAGTGCAGTGCAGTCGAATTTAGTTAACCGTAAATTAGCAAATTTTGTAAATGATGTGTTACCTCGTGTTTTTAATTATTACTTTTTACTTAGGGATAGCAGTTATAGTATAATACAGTGTACTTACACAGTTTCCGGCTTGATGAACACCAAATTATCTCAAGAAATGCCACTTTTACACGTAAAAACAGTAGGTTGCCAAAACATTTTGAGGCTTTGCTTTTAACGTAGTACGCCATCCAGTGCCTCAATAATAGCAACGGAAGCTGGAAAATATGAATATTTAATTTTGTCGCCGAAGTAATAGTTTCCTTGTCCATCATGTTTTGTGATCTTTGAGCTTTAATTACTGTAATTTTAAAATTAATGAAAACAAATTTCAACTGCACCATCGCGAGGCTCCACAGAAAAATACTGTAAACGCACAATTATAATTATAGCGACAATCGCCAAAGTGCTACGTTGCGGTTGAATACTCCTGAAATTTCTTCTGAAGTTACTGGTTTCTGTTTTTCAGCCTGATGACGATTCAGAGCTATACGACACGCAATCCAAGATCCTTAAGCCAAACGCCGATTTTGCATCTCACCCGAACACAATAACCACCTGCGATACTGCGTGCTCCTTGTCCGTTCACAGAGAAATAACACACAGCTCGCAAAATGTGGTTAAGAAAGTCAGTACACAGGACGGTACAAGGAACGCTGGAAATACACGGTGCATGGCAGATGGTCTGCCTCATGTCTGCGTTGCCAGTAGTTTGGTTAGTGCTGCCTCCACAAGTCGGGACGAAATAGCACACGGTCAGTGTTGCTTCGGCAATAATCAGCATATTATACAAATGTAAGGAGTTAAGCACATGTTGTCACGCTGCAGATTCCAGAGAGGTCATCGTTTGTGTTGGGGGAATAACGCGGACTCAGCTCTTAGCGGATGTGAACTGCTTCGATCCTGTTGCGCTTACCTGGTCACCATTAACGCCTCTTCCGCACGCTGTTAGGTATCCTGGCGCTGTGAGTCTGGATGACGGTTCGATTTTTGTTTGTGGCGGATTGACGTCGCCCGGCGAGTATGGCCGGGTACTGCCGACCGTCTTGCGACGCGATCCGATGACTGGCCAATGGAATAACGCGGCACCCATGCAGCATGCCCGGGAACGCGCGGGTGCAGCCGTGCTCCACAGTCGCATCTACGTAGCGGGTGGTCAAGGTTGGCGTGGCCGTCTGACGGACGCCGTGGAGATGTACGATCCACAGTGCGATCAGTGGCGGTCCGTAGCGCGCTTGCCAACGCCCATGAATGCATTCGCCATGGTGGCGCATCAAGACTATTTGTACACGTTCGGAGGGCGTTCACCTGAAAGATATCTTGACTCAGTATTCCGTTACGATCCACACGTGGACACGTGGAGTGAACTGGCTGGGATGCGGATGAAGCATGGCTCCCTCTCCGCATGTGTTGGCTCGAGCGGCTTGATTTTCGTTGTTAATTTCGGTACGGAAACAATCCCGAAACGATGAGATGTCGCCGACAATGGCTGAAAACGTGATTGCAGAAATTATTCGAAAGAATTAACTTAAGGGAAGTGGCCCGGTACGTGGTAGATTTGTGTACCTGGACGAAAACTTTCTCTTTCGTGCACTCCCAGACACTTCCTTGCTTTGTGTTATGACATTCTGCAGCTAGATGATTTGTATACACGGGCGTGAAAACCGTTTGTGCGCGCAACATCCGGTTCAAGAGTTATGGCTGTAAAAAAATTCCAAAAAGTTTATATGCATTCCGGTGTAACAAAAATCTCGTTTTCAAGCGATCTTCCAAAAATTTTGCATGGTAACGCACATTTGCAAGAAGATCGTTTTTACATCGAGCCAAAGGTGTACCATTTCTTTCAACTTTTAAAAGGAATTATAAAGACCGGAATGCATTTAAGCTTTTTGGAATTTTCTTATAACCACAACTTTTGAACCGGATGTTGCGCGCACAAACGGTTTTGACGTTTTATGTAAACAAATCATCTGGCTACAGGATGTCGCAACACAAAGCAAAGAAGTGTCTGGGAGTGCGCGAAAGAGAAAGTGTTCGTCTGTGTACGCGAATTCGATACCATGTACCGCGCCACTTCCTTTAAGCAGCCCTAGTATGTATTTTCATTGTATTTTAGGGTAATAACGGCAGAATCTCCTCCTGTAGGTCAAAATGTCGCGGGATCCATAAAGAATCCCATGGAGGCTTACGACACCAGAGCAAATCGATGGCAAACTAAGGGTAGGAAAGAGAAGAGTTACACACGTGCACGTGCAGTTACATGCACGTGTTAGTTACACACACGTGGTACTTTTCGTGAGGCCGTTTCTTGGCTCGTTTCATGCGCCGTACCAACCTGTGTAGCCCGAGTAACGAGGTTGAGAGGTCAGTGACTCCTTGTATGCTATACGCGCCGCGTTTTGCTACCGCTCGCGGTGGCGAAGAAGTGGAGCTGACGGATCCCGAAATTGGCCGCCGCGTACTGTGGTTTGCCGCAGGTGGCAAAGATAGCTGTGCCGTTAGTAGACTACGAAATGTTAGGGTCGCCTACTATAACTTTGTGTAGAATATACCGCAGCTACGTTTTTGTTGCGTTTTTCAGCGAGAACAAACCAGAAGAGGATATGCCAACCGGGGACCTGTCTCGTGGGAGAAACGATATACGCCGTTGGCGCAGACGAGGAAGTTGGACAGCCTACAGGTCGCTCCATGGAGTGTTACAATGAAATCGCTGACAGGTGGACCATGCATGGAAGCCAGCTACCAACCGGAGCCAGTGGCGTGCGTTGTGTGGTCATCAAATCATCGATCATCACACCATAATTGTTGGTCGTGCTTAATATAGCGTATAACAGGCGAGAGTCGTTCCACTTGCTTTTTGTTTCAGCGTTTAAGTTTGGAGATTATGACGTGCAACGCTATGAGCATATTGGGTACAGTCCCTTCTCATGTTAACTGGGACAAATTCTTCATCTGATTGTACTATACTGAGTGGTTCTCGTTGTTGTGCATATTGAAAAATAAACTATCACCCATATAGCGTAGTGTACGTGGCAACAACACCTGCCATGGTGTTATTGTTTTTTTGTCCAGATTATTCTATTTCTACGTTTGAGCAGCTCCAGTCAATCATGGGCCCGATCGTGGCAACTGGCGGGAAGAATGAGGCCTCAATCCTTCCGGCCTTGCTACGGCCTTGATTACTGGAAGCCACTTACTCACTACACTTGGATTTGACTGCAGTAAACAGTCTGATTAGAAGCCAAAATATATGATATTCCCATCAAGGAACTGATTCAGCCCTTAATGAAATAAATCACGCTAATTAGTTTACCATAAAGTTTTAAAGTTTAAATGCTGCTAGAACCAACGCTGAAAATTTTTTGTTTATTTGTTTATGTTCACCTCACCTTTTGGTTATGTGAACATTACCGGCGGATTCATGGGTCTGGATGGGATGGTCTGGATTGTCTTTTAACACAGGCCTTGACCCTTGGGAGCTGGGAGTGTCCTTCGAATCATTACGCTTCCTGCACTGTTTGTGGCGTTTTGCTTGATCCAGATTCCAGTTAAACAGTATATACAATCGTGCCAGTTCTTGCAAAGTCGAAGAAAAGTCCGTAAAAGGCACTTGATCGTTAGTTTGCACTTAGCAGACAACTGATCTCGAAGTCCCGACAGGTGAAGAGCTGAAGAAAGCGTCAACGTATCAGCGTTATGCCGACGGCAGGCACAAGCTCCTCCCCAGCACAGCCGCGCCTTGCGCGACGCTGTGCGCATCCTCCCACCCAAAGAGCCAATGAATTCTGGAGTGCACCAAAGAAGACCTACGCATACGCGAAGGTATGCACCAAATATCCCGTAGGCGTAGTGTAATACCGTGACCGCGACACCGCCGAAAACCCTTTTTTATCGGGCACACGATACAGGACTAATTTGCAAAGCTTAGTATCGCATAATCAAGCAGCAGAGTGTGCGAACACGCGCTGGTTAAAAAGCTGAGATGATACTCTGGGTCTACGGTAACTTTCCGGCACCTGATACGAGGCGGCGTGCCGGTGCAAATCACCGATATCGAGAACACAAGAGCTCGTTCTGATAAGCCCACTACGAGGATTTTATAGTGCTGGTTAGTGTACTAAAGACGCAAACAGATAGCTGATAAAACAAACAGTTTTACGGAAGAAAAACTTGAACGTGTAAAGATGGACACGTGGTAACGCATGAAGGTGTACTAATCCGCCGAAACATATGCTACTACCTTGGCCGCAAATCGAAAAGAATAACCAGTCTTTGCTAAAAGACCTTAACACAAACATTTAATTATCTAAAGTTAGGCTTATTTTTTCGGCCAGTTACGTAATAAAAAGTGAATAATTGATCGTCCAAAGAGAATATCGCGCGAAACACCATAAGCCATTCCGTCTGTCCGCTTTCAAGTGTGTCCAAAAATAAAAAAACGCAGGTTCCCTTCATTGGTGCGACGTGGTCGTTGGAACCGCTGACGATCATTTGGGCAGGAGAACAGCGCAGCCTGTACGGGAAAAAATTGCAGGTCTGTAAATATGTATCTGCTATATGTTGAAATGATTTTGTTTTACGGAATCTCGTTTGTAAAATTCCTGTCTGTACTTAAAGTAATCCAATAGAATACCATCTTGGTATATTGCAACTAAGAAAACATTTGCTTGCTAACCATTCGACAGGATAAGAGCCGAACACTGTAGCCCATCGCAGCGGTCTGCCGGAATGTGGCTGTCGTGAAGGGTCCATCCAATATCAATGTCGGTCTCCTCGCACCACTGGATTTCCGTTCCAGGTCCATGGCGCGCAGTCGACTGCCCTCCTAACATGTACAAACGCGTTCCAACGCGAGCGATTGCCCCTCGGGTGCGCAAGGGACTCACAGCAACTACAAAAATCAGTACCTGCAGCCGAGCACTACCACAATGCCAATAAAGGTACACGAAACATTCCAAGCACCAGCTAATCACGAAGTCTTCGCATTAATTAAGTGCACCTGACTTTGTCTGAACGTACAAAGCTCAAGAAATAAATGTAGATTATCAGACTACATACATGACATTCTTCGTAATCAATGACGCAGTCTATAATTAGGCACTTTAACTGGTATACGTACAGCCCCGAACGGACTTCTTCTGCAGTGGATCGTAGATTTCCCCCGCAACGAGGCGTGCTCGGGAGTCTGTGCCACCTAAGGACAAAATATCACAATTTCAGTGTAGTATCTGTATTTGCAGTGGCTAAGTATGCATATAAATCTATGGCAGTATTATTTTGGGTCGACGATTCCGCGGTGCAGCTTGGCAGTGAACTGCGCACGCGGCAAGCCTCAATGTGCGACCGACGCAAAACTCTCCTTGCACAACAATTACGTACTTAATTTTCATGCAACAGCGTTGATCGAGTGAAACGCATGAGAAAAACGGTCTGGTATCTGCATGACTGTTTCTTCAAACTGCATCTACGGTCTCTGAGTTTATCTCTTGCATTGTTAACTGCACGCTGCTGAAAGCCTGAGCCCGTTGGTTTCACGTTTGAGCTACGGGCAACCAGACAGTACGTCACTGAATCAAGCCAGTGTAATTACTGTAATGATAGTGCAGTACCGTACTATCACATGCTACCAAAGTGCTACCTGCACCTACATACCGGAATCTGAAGTGCCGCAATGTTTAAAACAGTTTGCTGAACAAGAATGCGCACTGCAGTGACGTACCCATGACGTAAATCAGTCCGCTGCTGCCGGCACACACACTACATCCGATGCGCGGAGATGCGAGACCAGCAACTTCGCTCCATGCATTCGCAGCGACATCATACAGCAGCACACTGCTAGTCAATTGTCCTCCAAAAACGAACAGTTGCCGACTGTGCACGGCTACCGCACATGACGTTTGCGCTACCGGCAGACTGGAGACGTAGTTCCATTCATTGTGGATCGGGTCAAAGCGCTCCACACTGTCCAATTCCGTCAGGCCCATACCATTGGCACTAATCCCCACTCCGCCGACAACAAACACAAATCCATCTACAACCCCAATACCCGCCTCGGCTCGCGCTGTCTGCATCGGCTGCATTTCTTGCCAGCCATTCTGTGCAGAAATGTACAGGAAAACTTTGTCCGTTGGGCGCGCGTTGAGACCTGCTTGTCCTCCACACACGTACAGATCCCGCTGGCCTACCACCGCAATACTGGCTGCGGAAACCGAAATTGGCAGCTCCCCCAGTGAGACCATGGCTCCTGTGGAGGGCGCGAAGCACATAATCGTGGAAGACCGCAAGGTTCCGCAAAACGCGATCACTTGCAAAGTATCTGAAAGCAACAGACTATGATAGTGCGATTCTGACCAACCGATGTGCAGAAGTATCGCTCACCATACGACAAGCGGGGTTTGTATCCCGCTGTTTCGTGTTGTTCTCGGACCTGGAGCACCCGGTCACGTAGAACAGCCGCATCGTTTCCACCGAGCTCCGCTAAAACGGCCGCCATGCCGTCCAGCGCAGCATCGGCTAAGAAAGGCAGACGAACGTACTGATACAGTTGAACAGTAAACATTTGACGCTCATCAGGCAGATGGTCTATCCACAGAACAACAGCGCTCAGAACATCCATTTCCGTAAGCACACGAACATCGTCCGACGCAACCAGCGACACCAACTACAAAGCAGATAGAAACTTCAGTGCTGACACTGTATTACGGCATCTTGCGTGACTGAACCCCGATCAGAAAAGCCATCGCGCGGTTCCTGTCCAAGCTATCCCCAGTATCTCAGGCCGCGTACCTTGGACTCCTCCAAATTCAGCGCCAAAAAGGTTGGAGCCTGGGAAAGGTGCATGAAGTACTGCAGAGAATACTGCTTCGCTCTGTCAGCGTTGTCCAGATCGCCGTGGTTTGTGTGCTCCGCCAAGTTCCACAGAGCCACACAATTGTCCACATCAAGCTGCCGGAGCGCAAATTCCCAACACCCCCTGACGATCTTCCCGTAATCCAGCAGCTGGGCAGCCTCGACCACGTCTTGCCAGTCATGGGCATCAATCGTAATTGAGCCAAAATAAGCATAATCTAGCAACCTAACAAAATAGTTGCTTTGAAGGATCGAAACATGCCATACCCAGCACCGTTAGCAGTTTATTTATAGCGTATGGATTTCTGTTCAAACCTACAATTTTACGAGCACAATTCTATCGCTGGATGAACAGATTCACTTACTTTTTCAACACCAGTGTTGATACTGTCGGAAAGGTAATAGGCTTCGCCATTGATGCTTCGGTCATTTCAACGGTAAACATCTTTTCGAAATACGTAGTGCTGGCGCTAAGGATTACTCGGTGACAAGGGATCTCCGCACTGGTATCTGCGCCCACCAGCACTACATCGCAAAACTGACGATCCTGCCACAGTTCGCGCATACGACTTTTTGTCGATGGATCAGACTCGATGGTCACAGCAGCTACCTCCATGGCGACTGAAAGGAAGTTTTTCTTGAAACTGCGAATTTTAGACAGTTGTCTTCAGTGTATGCAGCTAATATCAAGCCTGTACAATCAAGAATCGTTATCGAGGAGCCAATGAATCAGCATCGAAGTTTGACGATTACGAAATCTAAAGTTGCCCAAGATGAAAGTGTTTAACCACCCAAAGTCGGCGATTACCACATGACGGCTATTAATTTAACCAACTGCTTCTTCATTGTGACTTTACGTGACGCAGTAACGTCGTGCGCAGTACGACGTTACGACGCTACGACGTTACTTTTTGGCACTATGCACTGAAATTAACTTTACCGTCGCCATTAATTTTTCAAAAGGTATTTTCGAGGTAAATTCCAACACTCAGTCGCGAGGCTGCACTTTATATCTGCGCACGCTTCACCTGAAGCTTTGACGCGCACGGACCTCGCAGATTTTCTAAGCGAGAGAGGTCCAAGTTAGTACATTAGTGGTTCGTCGGTTGTAAGCAAGGGTACACCGACAATTCGCTGACCACTATCCAATTGACCGACAACTTGCTGGCGACTTTTTGCTGACCGACGAAATGATGACCCGACAGTTTGTTAAAACGACAATTTGCTGAATGGCACGGAACGGCTTTTTCTGAACACCGACAACTTGTGGACGCAATTTTGCTGAATTGAGAAACCCAAGGAACCTAAGAAAACTAAGAAACCTAAGAACCTAAGGAACCTATGAAACCTAAAAAAACTAAAAAAAACTAAGAAATCCAAGAAACCTGAGAATAAGAAACAAGAAGTAAATGTATTTTATTGGGCAAAGGCCATCAATGTAACAAAAACTGCATTCGCGTTATACTGCTTAGAATGATATAAATTTAAACGCTAAAAAAACGCCAAAATCGTTATCGCCATCCAAAATCCTAGAACGCATATTTAAGGCGCCCAAAACAGCAACAGCATTTCCTTTCACTACAGCTGGACTTAATTTCTGCTTCAAAAATGCAGTAGAACGAGGTTCCCGTGTCACGTCGCCAATCTTTCCGCCAGCGAAACGAATGAGCTCCATAAAATCCGAACCAAATGTGAAAAAAGTTTCGACTGCTAGGGGAGAAAACATGTAACCCATCCTTTCCACGTAGGCGTATTTACGGCGTTTACAGCCTTCGGTCAAATGTGTAACACAACCGGATGCACTCGCACTTTCCCGGACATGCGATGGGGCTACCGTGTTCCAGCATATAGTGTCCCACACCAGCGCCTTGCCTTGCCATACCGGCACGACGGTCATGGCATCTGGCCGCGTGTTATCTTGCCTGACAGTCCAAGGCTCGCTTTGACATGGATACCCCGCATGTTCCAAAGCCCGCTTTATTTCAGCATTTAGTTCGGTATGTCCTGACCATCTGTCCCTGCTGCTGGAACAGGAAAGGCCGTGGTGCCGTTAGTTTCCACATGACAAGAAATTAAGAAAACTCAAAAGCCAACGTATCGAACCGAAGCGCAAACTGTCGGTCAGCAAAAATGTTTCGGCAAAACGTCGGTCAGCAATTCTGCAGAAAAGCAAATTGTCGGATATTGCTTGATGAGAGAGATGGGTATTCTGGAAGATGCAGTTCCTAGAACTTCCTACGCACAAAAATATTTTGTCTTGAGCCTAACAGGTGGCAGGTGCCAAGTTTTGGACAGGACACAGTGCCAAAGGACAAATATATTATACCGCGCATATGCCCTGATGACATTAAAGTTAAAGTGCAAGTAGACTACGACGATTACGTTGACTGCACGCTGGAGCGCAAAGGTGCTTCGTTTCTTCTTAGTAGACAGTGGAAAAGAATGAACACCTACAAGAAACGAGGAACGTACGGCTATGTGTATGTACCTCCCGTGTTTTTCAGTGTAACTGAAATTAACTTCTACAGAAGCAGTTACGATAACCCGGCATCACGTTGTAGTAAAATATTGACTGACCAGCGGGAAGAGATGCACAAACCGGATCTTTTACGACCGCGTACGCCTTACATTACAGCTTCAGTTAATCCCTGCTTTATTAAAAACGTCCCCAATTTAACAAATGCAAGCGTCTCAACGATTCCCCAGAAAGTGGAATTATGTGAGACATTACTGACTGAAATTTTAACGGTTTTGACGACGCCTACAGTACAGCCGACAACGGACACTAAAGAATCTTCGCAGTCAGCAACACTTCTGTCGTGCAGGCAGTGCCAAAAATTAAATATTCACTACAGGTGATATTAAAAGAAAAATTAAAGGAATGGTTTTCATAATGCAAAGTCTTCGATTGTCTTGATCTTCGTTCTACAACCGATTAGTGAGACAAACGCATATCATTTTCTTAAACGTTTACGTAACAGCACCGACATCGCACGAAAGCGGCAGGCCTTTCGTATCAGCTGTCCATTATTTTCCCACCAATCACGAAACCATTGGAAAACAGCTGCAATGAAGTTTCCTCAGGTAGTCACGAAGGGGAGCCCGAAGCAGCCATCGTGTTCGTGTTCCACTCTAAAGACAACACTCGCAAGGCTGGCAAATCGGTAAATGTGCCTTGTTCGAATAATTCAGTACTGGTGTTTCGGAAAAGAGCCACTTTGATCTTGTTCGATTGGCTGAAGTCAGTTTTCCTTATCTCCAGCCCATAGCAGTCGTTCAACCGGACTCAACAAATTAGAGAAGCGGAGTGCGGTCAGCTTGTGGGAGGTGCGGCTAGAAATACAGTTGCGGATATATAATGCTACCGCTTGCTTCCGGACTGTTTCAAAATTGTTGAAGGAAATGTATTCGCCATCATACAGATCAACGTCGGTTGCTCTCATAGGAGATTTCGAGATTCCGACGCTAATTTGCCGAATTTCCGCCGAAGTGAGCTTGCCGATGGAAAGCGCTTGGGTAAGTGTGCAGTTATTAGCCGTACACTCCGGAAATTTGCAGTTGGTCGTGAACTGGAGCCCACATTGTTTTGCCGTCATTCGCTCCTGGGAAAACCGCGAGAATGTTTCCGATGCACAACCGATTTCATTGTGTTCATCAGGGGCTACACGAGACCCCTATCGACCATGTACTATTTTTTTAAGCCGAATCTGACCACGTATTAATAATCAGCGAATTTTTTGATCTAGAAAACAAAAAATTTTGAAAAAAAAATTTCCTACTGTGGGTTGGTGAGTGAAGACGCGGCAGAATTGAAAGACGAAAATTTTTCTGCTTCCTAAATATGGTTTCTAAGTAAATAAAAACGCTGAGCTCGAATATGATATTTAAAAAATTATCAGAGCCACGTGGAGGAAGTTTGCACCGATGTTGCAGTTGTCATGTAAAATACGGGTGCGCTGTGTAGCCAGCAACCTAAAGATTGTATCATCTTCCGCAAACGTCAAACCTTTTTTTAAATGTCATATTCGAGCTCAGCGTTATTAATTCACCTAGAAACAATATTTAGGAAGCAAAAAAGAATTTTTCGTCTTCAACTCAATTGCTGCCGCCCACAGAATCGGTAGGGCACCAGGGGGACCGGCAGTCAGAAATTTTTTCTTCCGAAAAAAAAATTTAAAAAATGGTTTCTAGATCAGAAAATTCGCTGATTATTAATACGTGGTCAGATTTGGCTTAAAAAATAGTACATGGTCGATAGGGGTCTCGTGTAGCCCCTGGTGTTCATTACTATCTGCATAAAAATTCATGCAGTTTTCTGTAATTTCGCTTACTGCTGGCACAAATTGCATCTCCACAAGTGAATGTTTCACCGGAATCTGAGCAGCATGCCGCCGTGTTTACAACTCAGCCACTTTTAAGTTACCGGCAATTATGCGTGATCCGCAAAAATTTCCTGATGTCTACGGTCTAGTAAAAATAGTCCTAGGTCGCTATAAAAAAATTTTGCCGGTTTCAATGAACTGCACCTGAATAAGTTTTCCGGCATGTTTTTAACGAGTTACTGCGCATTTTTAACAGACTGCGTTTTGGCGCACCTGGCGTACCCATGCCGCTCTCACAGTCGCGCTGATCTTCCTTGGTTGACTTTGTGACATCACCGACATGACAGCCATCCCGTTTTTCGTTGTCCTTATCACTACTCCTGCCTACAAAGTAAAAACACCATGCAAAAGAACGAGATGTATCCGGCATTCCCACCCTCGCCATTGGTAGATGAAACACGTTTACCTGCTGCCAAGATTTTCGGGTCGGCAATCGCGCACCGAAACCAACGGTGTATTCTGACAACATCCAAAGCACTCAGCGCTTTGTTCTGTCCAATCTTTGAATATCGGCTTGTCGGCACAATAGTCGGGATATTGCTGTCTTTGGCGAAGGCGTTGTGCTTGTAATGCATCACCGATTCGTAGTCATATGGCAACCCGTACGTGTTTCCGTCTTCGTATTTGGCGAACTGGTCCTTGTCGCCCGGAAATGGTAACTGATAAGTAAAGTTACTTGACTAGTCGTAGCATACTTGATGTTCTTCATGAATAACGATATGTGATAGGTTCGGATCGTACCCTACTTGACTACTCAATAAACAAGCAATTTGTGATGTCGTAGTAACCGTAACCTTGTGTAGTAAATATGACCTTGTTTATCGGTATATTCATATATCTCGTATTCACGAAAATTATTCAATAAAGGAGCGAGCGAGAGTTCACGACACAATTGATCAGTCAAAGTGTCGAAAATAAATCAGATCATCCTTCAGTCTTACTTTTGGCTATGTTATCCCAGATGATTATAACATACTGATCTCGGTGAGCTCGCGAATGTTCATGAAAGAAACCCAGCCCGCTTCAGTTCGTGCTGGACATCACCGTGCTGCTTCAGACATGCGGGTGAATAAAATACACTCCAGATATTTATTCAAAATAAACTTGTTGGGTTTGTTTATGCGCGGGATTAGTAATGCAGTTCGTACCTGGCCAGGCGCTCGCGAAGATCTGTAAAGTATGTGTAAGTAATAACTTTAATAGTTAATGAACGCTACAAATGAATTATGTGAACGGTAGCCAGCTAGCTGGTAGATTGGCAAGAAGTGCAACATGTTGTAAGATGTAAAACGCGTACTCTGTAGTTGTTAGGAACTTAGGACAGTATAATGGACACCACAGGATAACTAAGTTGATGGTTCTGCTGAAAAGTACGGGATATCAGCACCCAGAGTCAGGTTGCCTAACGGAACGTCCGTAGATAACGGCGCAACGTCGGATATCAGTTTCTGGGCAGCGACGTTCATTTGCGCCGCACGAAAGACGAGTGTCGGCAGCACTGCGAAGATCGGCGGACCAATGCCGGCTACTGACGCCGAATACCACGCATCTGATCGTGCTGTGTCTGCTGAGTAAATGCATCTTGGATCATTGATATCCCGTAGTTTGCTTTTGTACTTACCGTACTCTTACAGGTGCAGTACTATCAACGCGTTGTGCCGTCCTGATATCAGATTTTCTTCTTTATTAGGCTTTGATGGAGCTGTTGCGTTATATTGACGAGCTCGCACACACTGAAATTCTGGTCGAAGATTATACTTATCATATTTGACACAGCACAGTAGAGCCGTAATTCAGCGTTATTTGGTATGTTGGCTGAGTAATATGACCGTGCACGTATGCCAATAAAGGTCGTTTAAGTGGAAATACAATGAAGCGATTTTTGTTTTCAGCACTAGTAAATATGTATGTATTTGAGCAGTGATATCAACATTTTGCTTGTCCCGGAAAGTCCCTGCAGCTGCGCGATCAGATAGAAGAAAATTAATTGCTCCTTGACAGGATTTACAGGGCAAGGACAGTACGGACAAAAACATAAGGAAAAATTTAACAAACGCATGCGAAACAGAGCAACGGCGTGAATGCAATTTAGGATAAGGCAAACTCGCATACATATCAGCAGATTACTAGCAACAGCACAGACACCCAACCAGTTTAGCAATTTTGCCGCTTGGCGCGGATGTTCGTGATCTCACAAGCTGGACAACAAGTAGGGTCAGCAGGAAGGTTCGTTCAGTGAGAATTCCACCTGGTCAAAGTCAATGAGGTCTGGTCCGGATGGGAAAGGATCTGCAGAACAGTCGATTGGTACATAAACGTCACTGGGTTGGAATGCGGAGCTGGAGTAACTGTCTTGAAACGAATAGAGTTGTCGCTTCTCGGCCATTCGGAGTAACTGCTTGTTATTTTGTCGCCATTTGCGGAATGGCGCAAAATCACAACTGCAATGAAGTCGGAACAGATAATCCTTGATATTTGCGTTGAACGTTACTGCCTTTCTGATCTCGGCCTCGAGTGACAATATGCGCAGGGCCGGTAACTGTGAGAATGTATCGCTCTCGATGGTACGAAATGTTGAATTGAAAAATGCAACTATTCGTAATTTTTGAGAATACTCAAAGTCCGCCTTTTTTGCATGTAAACTGAGACATCTGTAAAGATGGTATTCTAGAAGGCTCGGCATGGGCATTTCACGCAGCCTTCCCGTGACTCGTCGATCTGTGCAGTCGTGGAGGTTATACGCAACAATTTGTCTTCTCACTTCCCCGAGATCTGCCGATGACAGTTCGGAGTTGTCAACGGAATTAATCAGAAGCGGACGCAGAGGTGCCTTGTTGACAGCTTTCAGCATGCGGATAATTTCGTCCGAGCTTGCTTCTTCGTTGCAGCTGATTTGCACGAGCTTATTAAGTAGACATTCGCTTCTTGTATAAAATGTTGGTTCACAGTTGGTCGTGAACTGGATATTGCATTCTTCTGGAGTCATCGGATTAGAGGAAAAATCCGGAAATCTGACTTTAGAGTTCGGAATTTCATCCGAGCATTGTGATGTGCCAACATCGGCACTCGAAACTGGAACAAAACAATTAAAATTTCGACGTACCAAATGTTAATGAGAGCAGGAAAATAAGCAGTAACGCTCCGGTTATTAATATCTGGCATTAAATCGTCGTATGTCATTTTTTCGGTTAAAAGCTGAGAACCATTTATGTTTGTAAAGCGTATTAAAGCTGATTGGGAGATGGATTATTCTTGTCGTACTTACAGTTCGGTACGTTGATTGAGAATCTGTACTGTTTGTGGTCTACGGAAGCTGGTTCAGCAGGAAACGGGTTCACTGAACAGTCGATTGGCGAATAAATGTCCTCTTTAGTGTAATTGACATTCCTCCATGCTTGTGGGATGAAGTACACTTCGCCTAGTGCAGCCTTTCGCAGCAATTGCCGATTGTTGTCCCACCAATCACGAAACCATCCAAACTCGCACCCGCAGTGCAGCTTCTTCAGGTAATCGCGAATGGACCTTCCGAAAACAGCCCTGTTGCGCATGCCCAACTCTAATGACAACACTCGCAAAGATGGTAAATCGGTGAATGTGCCCCTCTCCAGCCTTTTAATAGTAGTGTCTTCAAAAGTAATCACCGTGATCTTGTTTGATAGGCTGAAATCCGTTCTCTTGATTTCCAGTCCAGTGCAGTGTATTATCTCCAGTTCTAGCAAGTTGGAGAAACGTAGTGCGGCCAGTTTTTGGACAGTCCGGCTAGAAATGCAGTTTCTGATGGCAATCGCCACAACTTGTTGCCGAACATTTTGGAAATTCTCGAAAACGATATAGTCGCCATCATAAAGATCAACCGCAATCGCTCTTTTTGGGGATCTGGAAAGCCCAGCGCTGATTTGCCGAATTTCCGTCGAACTAACGGGCCTGCTACAGTTGATGGTAAGCCCTTGAAAAGACGTGCAGGTCTCAACTGTTAATCCGGGCTGATTGCAGTTGGCAGTAAATTGGTGCCCACATTGCTCTGCGGTCATTGGCTCTTGAGAAAACTGCGGGAACGATTCCGATGCAGTAAACATCTCATCGTTTTCACCTTCATCTTCTGTAGAAATTATCAACTGTTATGTTTTAGTTTTCTCCTCGCATTTTATAGATTTTGAAGTTAAATGACCCACTACTAGTACATCGACACGTCGTTTGCAACAGCGCTTTAGTTTCTCAAAGTGCACCGTTTACATCGCCGCTCATGGGCTGCCCACAAAATAGTTAACTGGTTTTTCGGGGTTGTTGCAAGTAAGAGCGTAATTTCAAAAACCCCAAACTGCATTTACCGATTCTTTTGCCGGAATCGCACGGATCTTCCTTCCTTGTTTGCGCAAGCGGACAGACTGGGCAGCTTCCCGGTTTCTCGTTGCCGCTGCTGTCACCTGGTACGTTCAGCAAAAGTTGGATAGCTTGTGCCTGACGCTGAAATAACGCCTTCTTAAAAGAATGTATTAAGCTTACAAGCAAACTGCTTTGGATGCGCAATTGCACATCGAAACCGTCGGTGTATTCTGACCACATCCAACGGACTCAGATCCCGGTTCTGTCCAATCTTCGACTTTCTGCTGGTTGGGACGATAGTCGGGATACCGCTGTCCTTAGCGAAGGCGTTGTGCTTGTAGTGCATAACCGATTCGTAGTCGTACGGCAGGCCGTACGTGTTCCCGTTCTCGTGCTTGGCAAACTGGTCCCTGTCACCTGAAAAAGGTACTGTCAAACTGGCAATCAGTCGGTAAACTCTGCGCTTTAATCAGCCTCACTTTTGGCGATGTTGTCCCAGATGATTTTAACATATTCGTCTCTGTCGGCTCGGGAATGTTCATGGAAGAAACCCAGTACATGCATCAGTTCGTGCTGAACGTCACCGTGCTGCTTCAGACATGCGGGTGAATACGTCACCACTTGCTTCCCACCAATACGACCGATATTTGACATGCACCTAACACAAACCCGTGTTTTTTTCGATAAGAGCCATCGTGGCAGTAGATTGTAGTGTTGGAAACGGGTTACTAACTGCAGTCCTTTTTGAAAGCTGATGTAATCTTCTTCGGTTGTGCGCTGCACAAATTTGACGCAGTTACCCGTAAGGTGATTAATTATGCGCATCGACTCCAACACAATCTGAAGTTCTTTGGGCGCTGCAAATCATTTAGTCAATCGTTGCCTGGATAACTGCGATGCAGCCTTAGTTTCGGATTTTCCTTGAAAGAATGCCAAAAATTAGTAGCAATTCCTCACTCATTAATGCGTTCTGCTTTTTGGAGAATTCGAATGGAATGGTGTTGTTCGGCCAGAAAGAGCTGGCGTCGCTGACGGCGTTTGCGGCTTCCTGCCCCAGCTACAAAGGTCACACAATTTGAAACTTAAATATTGGATGTTCGTACAACTTCCGACCAGCAAGGGCAGACAAATTCCTTAATTTCCGCTTACGATTTCGGCTATACACGCTGCACTTTAAAGGGGTTTCGAATAACTAGTTACCTGCATCGTTTGGAGTCCCAAAATGTCTCCTTCCGGCAGATCGCTGTCGTAGCGCGTGTATTCGTCATCATCACTGTTTGCCAAAATTTCCGGATCGATAAAATCTCTCCAATCTGCCAACAACGGAAATATTAAAAAAGTGTTTTTGTCACGGTAAAACTTCATAGTACGAGTCCCAGCCATCGCCTCCACGTTCCTTCCATGTCTTTCAGTGCACGTTTATACTGCTTTTCACATACTTTCTGGTAGATTCCGGTATGTTTTCGTTGACACGCGGCAACATATTGCAATGAAAACAATCAGCGCACAAATTTCATATCCCATCATAGTGCTGCTTGTTTTATCTGCTGGCAACGCGGCATTGCATCATTATTTCCGCCAAACTCTGTTAACTGTACATGCCCAGATTTCAGACTTTTAAAAGTCGTTTTCTGCTATGTTCCCTCGGGCAACGTTTTTTATGTGGCAAAAAACCGGCCCGAGATATTTCTTCGTGTGTGGTAACTGTCACACATTTCTAAGCAGCTGGCCTTATGTATTTTCGATATCTGAAACAGCGAAACGCGACATTAATGTGGCATTTTACTTCCCATTTGCTAGACTGCTTCATGCGTAAGCGCGTATAAATGGTAACCGAAGCTTCAATGCACAGAAATGTTTAAAATCTTTTAAAGCCACAAGTTGATTTCAGTAAGAAAAATTATTATTTAAAAAACTGTTAAGTACCACGGAGGCCTTCGTACGCAATGGTTGTCCGTGAAGTTCTCAGCGAAAAAAAGCCGGTTATAGGCGCCGAGTCATTGAAGTACTTCAAAGTATATCTTCTAGCAATTACCAAAAGTTTGCTGGAATCGTTGCAGCAAACTTTTAATAACAACTAGAATTTCAGTGGAATGCTAAGCTTTGAAGATACTAGTAATGCCTTTGCAGCTAAATTATTTCGCGCATTTTGCAAGGGTTTGCGGTTAAGTAACAATAGTGGCGCAAGCGATTAAGAAGCGATACTCAGTCTAGCAGGTAGTCGGCGAACACGAGCGGCATCCAGTACGCGTTGCGGATTTTAATGAAAGCGTGCTCGTTGTCCTTTTCGTCGCCGTTGGCAACCCACCTCTTGAGAAGGTACTGCGGCACCACGGCAACGGCGCAGTGTTCCTTAATGGGCCGTGTGTTGCGCACCACCCTCCAGTTGTCCGTGACTTCGTCGTGGACCTCCACTACGTCAGTCCAGGAACCATTCTCTTCAAGCTCGTCAGTGTATCCTCCCGCAGCGTACACGTATCCCCCAACGGCAGCTACGCGGGCAGAGGACCGCTTGTGCATCATGGGACCTTGTATAGCCAAGAAATGACATGTTTTGCGACAAAATGATGTGTTTTAGTACTCAGTTTGTACTTGTCTGTGACACTTATTAAAGTCACCAGAAAACAAATGACATCTTGTCAGTAACGTGCGTGTGTGCAGCTTGACCTTGACTAACAAAATCGTACTTTTTTTGAACCAACAGTTCCGTATTGCATCGTAAGCCTCCACGCACGCCAGGTGCTGGAAAACTTCCCTGGCGGGTTCCATGTGGCTCTCGCATCCCCTTTAGTAAATTAATATTATTAATAATTATTAATAAGTCCCCTCTATTATCGTTTATAATGACCGGCACATCATTTTCCCCTTACCAATGACGTATATCAACCCATCCGCACCGACACACACCGAGCAGTTATATCGTGCCGTCGGCATCGGGGCCAGTTCGCTCCACTGGTTGCTGGCGATATCGTAGCGAAACGCGACATCTAGTGGTTGTGCGGCAGTTGTGCGGCCACCGAAGGTGTACAGGCAGTCCTGCCAGGCGACAAAGGCCATCCTCCAAGCTTCAATGTCTTTTTCCTCCAACAAAGAAATCGGCGTACACTCCCAACAACCTAAGTCTGCGTCGTAGCTCTCAAACTGCAGACTGCTGTAAGCGATATCAGAGGTGAGCACATACAGCTTCCCTTTAGAGACCGCCGAGTACAGATGCTTATACTTTGCGCAGTGCCAGAGGCCTTCACTGCGTTCCCGGTCGGGACATGCCAGCCATTCGCGATCGATGGGATCGTACGCGTAGAAACGATGGCAAACGCGCACCAGCAAACGGTTGCCGGGCGCCACGACAGCGGACGGCATTAAGGCAATTTCTGATGCCGCAAATGGCGCCGGCGGTGGACAAGGCGCTTCCCATTGCGGATAGCAGCCGCCCTTGCAGGTGCCCGGCGGAAGGGCACAGTGAATGTACGGAGAGTAGCAGACCGGCTGGGTTAAGGGCCCCGGATACCATGGATTGGGAGAGGTAACATAAACCACAGTCGGTTCTGCAATGGCTGAGTTTCACCACAACGGCGTAAAAGTGAAGTGCGTGTATTGGATATAAGTGAAAGAAGTGCGCGCCACGGACGGTTACAACTTTGTTCTCCTTATTATTTTTCTAGCGCTAAAAACTTTTTGTTTTGTACAAAGAAAGGTAGACATACGGTAGGATTTTTGTGGCTGGCAGGGACGCTGTTGAGCTGATAATTGCATGGCCCGATAGAGTGTCTGTCCCGTGGGGGTTTCCTGCAGGAAGTTCAGGAAGTCGGCAGAGAGAAAGCCGGCGCGCACCAGGCTCACCATGTCTAATGCGGCGGGCATTCGTTCATCGACACTGTAGTCGACCCAACTATAAAGCGCATAGCCCACCCGATCTTCGTTGTCAGTCTCCAGATCGTCCGATCTAAGTAATTCCATCATCTGGAGAAAAAACATAATGCGGCAGTTAGCAAAATCTTGACCTTTTACTGAACATGTTTCGCCGAAGACAGAGATGCAGTACTTGAGGCGAGCTTTTCAAAAATATTTTTTTTGTGCACTCCGTACAGTGCCGTTTTACGCAGGCAAGAGGCAGGACGTGCGCAAAAAAAGTATTTTACGTCAACGAATTGGCACTATGGAAATAACGCACCTTGCTTTTATCTAACTCGTAAAATGCCGCAGAGCCGTAAACGGTAAGGAAACTGTTCGCAGGGAAATTTTCTGGCTTTTTCAGCCAGGTCGGAGAGAAAGAGCATTTCCGCCGAGTGTGCAATGCTCCAGCAGTTCGTCAAGTCGATATGCGACTCCAGGTAATCGATGCAGGTCGTCACAATTTGCGTTATATCCAGCATTTGTGAGGCCTGCAGCAAAGGTAGGGCATTGTCACCGTTGACGGATATCTCCAGCGAATACATGAATTCAGTTATTCTGCAAATAAAAGTTCTGCACGTTGCAGGCCACGGTTGCGTTTCGTTCCCAGCCGATACGAAATTGTTAATTAGGAGAACGACCTCTGGTGTTAATCTTTAATCGTCCAGTTGTTTTTCAATTATGTTAGTTTGAAAATATCGATCGAAAAGTAAATAAGATACTCTTGAAAGGGCAGGGCTAGGCTCGCACAGACACTCGCAACAAATCTGCCGATTGAGGGAATCGAACCCACAACCTCCGTACTCTAAGGCCGAGAGAGGCACCACTAGAGTGGGCTATCGGCAAAGCCTACAAAATTGTATTGAAATACTCTAGCGAACGATCTTATAGAGAGCGGATGCCGCTCTGACACTCTTAATGCTTACAAGCACGAACACCTCGTACATATATCCCTAGAATTACGTGCTACATACCATTGTGTAGACAAAAATCAGCTCCATTTGGTAGTATTTTTTGCAACGGGGTAAGTATAAACATTTGTTTACAATAATCATGTAAACTTAGTATTGCAAAACGCTCCGTGACGTGTCGGCGCGCACATTAAAAATGCCGCCCATCACGCAGCAGAGATACTGATCTTTGCTGAAACTGGAGAGCTATCCTACCTTCACCGCAGTTACGTTAGCGATTAAAAAATTTTAGTATTCCAGCTCGTTTTGGATTTACATAGACCGCTAACAAATTTCTATAATTGTTACATGTAACTGAATTGAAAGATATTCAAAAAGTAATTTTGCTGTTTCGTAAAACCAAAATCTGAAATTCTGCTGGGACAAGGTGTTGAATGCTCAGAAGATGCTGCTGAACATACTCCCGCTCGCGCTGAATAGGGATATGATCTGCCAAACTGATAAGTCTCCGATTCAGCATATCCCCGATCAGCGTTGGCGAAGATCGGTATCTCTGATGCGCGAAGGGCGGCATTTTTGATGTCCGCACCGACACGTCACGGAGCGCTTTGCAATGCTAAATTAACATGGTTATTGCAAACAAATGTTTATACTTACCCCGTTGTAAAAAATACTACCAAATAGAGCTGATTTTTCTCTACACAATGGTATGTAGCACATATTTCCAGGAATATATGTACGAGGTGCTGGTGCTTGTTAGTATTCGCAAAAATGTTCAAAACTCTGCTAAGGCTTACTGTTTTAACGCGCTGTGGGGAATATCGTGCAGTTAGACGAATTTCTCGCGGGACTCCTTCATTTCCGATGAAAACATGGCGGCGAAATACGGACTGTGCTCGCTTAGAACGGAACGGTGGCACGGAATCCATTGTGACGCGCTCTCCGTGCCTTTTACATACACATCAGGCAAACTGGGAGACACTTCCATAACTTTTTTACGTGAACCAAAGCGGCGAAATAACTGTATAAAATTACGACTTAGCGCGGAGTGCCGGACGGCGCAGGTTATCTGTTCGCACGCGGAACCGCTTGGGTATCGTGTGTACGATGGTCGTAGCTGTTTCAAGTTCTTAAGATCCTCTAGTGTGTGTTTTTTTCAGTTCGAGCGATTGCTGCGATCTGCAGTGCGCATTGCGCGACTCCGTCGATGCCAGTTTGAGAATGATAGCTTTTCGGTTAGAAACGTGGCATTACATCATTTTTTACCCAGATGTTATAAACTGGAGCCTTCTAACACTTCAAGTTCTCTTAGCGCAGCAATTTGCTATGTTCCCTCAGGCAGACATTTTTTTGCAGTTGCACAACCGGCTCAGAATAATACGAGTACATCGAGATAACCGTCGCATATTCTTTGACAGCCACAGTACTTTGTCGCGGAGCTGTTGCCGAACACAACCAACCGGTAAATTACGAAGCTATAGTATTTTACTTCAAGCTGCTCGACTACTTCAGTTTAAACGCAGTGTTCTCTTCCATCAACAGAGGCAAGCCACGTTTACATCACTTTAATTCAGACTAAGAGAAACTTAGTTTTTTAACGGTGCGTTTCCCAAACTATCGGGTCAGCATTTAAACCCAAATATCCAGCAGCTAGAACCAATGAAAAAGCTCTTCCAGCTCTTTCGAACAACGAACAGTTCCCAAAACAGAAACGGCATTTCCGCGCTGAATTTCAACACTTATACGCTGCCACAAAAATTCCAAAGCGCGCGCTTCCCCTGTTTGTTCTTTTTTACGTCGGCCAACTTCGCTGACGAAATGGCGGGAACTGACGCCGCAAGTTCCGGTTGTTTCAAAGGATAGGGGTTGGAAGAAATAGCGATCAATCAGTTCTTCGTAATTGCGCCTTTTTCGTTCCTCCTCGTCCTCTGCTGCCGATCCCGCCACTTCTGATGAGCCGGCGATGCACGATATGGCGAAAGTGACACAAGCTCTCACATCCCAAATTAAACGCAGGCCTAGAGAGTAGAGACAAATGTTCGACAGGCAGAACAGAAGCATTTCCGCGGCGTTCCCAGACAGTAGCCGGGATCGGCTTGCAAACTACGGCAGTGTGCACTGCAGTCGTGGCGTGTTCGACAGTCAGTGGCGCCACGTCCGCGGAAACCGATTTCGTGCGCCGACTCAGCATCATTGGACGGTTGCGATTTCTGTATCATTGTTCGGTGTGGCCGGCATTAGAGCTAAGCGGCAAAAGGATGCCGCAATAAGCTCTTTGGACTCTCGGTGCTTTGCTTCTGCCTTTATGATGACTTTATAGGGAAAGTGACCCCTTTTGAAGAAAACGGGGTGGTAATTTTGCTGTTCATCCGACATCCACAATTAGTTAAGCTGTGCATTACCGTTCGATTATGGTTCAACCATTGGACGTATCGGAAAAAATAGTCGCAGAGCTTAAGTAGTAAAGCTGCATTTAGCTGCAGATTGATCGGAAATGGTTGTAACGTATGGTAGAGCGATGATCGCCGAAATGCTTCTGTGCGCAAAGTCAGTCTGATATCTACATTAGCTCGCTCAGAAGTAGCGCTAACGTGTATGTTTTGCTTGTTTGGCAGCGTGTTAACATTCGTTGCCTGCAGTTATAAAATGGCTAAAATTATTTCTCTATTGCTGTTGCCTGTGCTGTATATGAATAGTACTGGATAGCCGATAACAGCACCCAGTGTCCGGCCGAACGGAACGTCTGTAGAGTACAGCGGAATGTGACACATCAATTCCTATGCCATCGACGCCCATTTGTGCCGCACGGAGGAAGATTGTCGCCAATATCTGCCAAGACCGGCGGCGGATGTCGGTAACTGCCGCGGAACACCCCGCAACGCTTGGTACTTGAATCGGGTGCGGTAATATCACCGACGTCGCGCAGTCTGTAGACGTACCTATTCTTACAAGAAATGCAACACTGACGCAGTCTTATTTTGAACAGATATCGGTCATGCAACAGTCTGCGCTCTATGGTGGCGATTCTGTAGCAGAATTAAGGCTAATTTTTTACGTCGTTTTCCCTATTTAACGTGAAAGTTAGGCTTGAGCTTAGAGGTTATTAGAACTTATTACAAAGCACTGACAACAAAGGCTAAAACACAAAACACATAACTGTTGAAAGGCCGAGAACGATCTTGGAAGAGCAGCTTAAATGCTCACAAGTAAGAAATTCCGTGTTTTGTGTTTTGAATTGAGTTCATTGTCTTATGCATCGAGACACGGTCCCCTCGAAGCACTTGACACTCGAGACAAAATAACAACAAAACATGACAAAAACAAAACTCAAAGACAAAAAGTGTTTAATATTTGTAAAAGGTCATTTCACGTTTACGTGATAGTTACACATATTTTGGCGAGCGCTGAAAAATTTTTATTCTGCTTTTCAACCGACTTTTCAATTTTGTACCCAAGCCGATTCTAAGTGAAACGTATTAATTAATTACTCTTCAGTTTTGTTGCACGGGTTGGCAAACGCTTGTAATCACTGCGGAGACAGTAAGAAAGCGCCCATGAACCACACCCATGGCATCCAGTCATTTTCATCTGACAGTAGTTATGGGGTAAATTTGGCGAAGCTAGCGCCCTATCGCTGGCGTTGCGCTGGCTGTGACGCAGGATGTGCCGCGGCAGCGGCACGGTACGATGACGCCCTATCGCTGGCGTTGCGCTGGCTGTGACGCAGGATGTGCCGCGGCAGCGGCACGGTACGATGACGCCCCATCGCTGGCGTTGCGCTGGCTGTGAGGCAGAATGTGACGCGGCAGCGGCACGGTACAGTGACCACTGCCGACGCCCATTCACTGGCGTTCCGCTGTATGTGTGGCAGAGTGTGACGCGGCAGCGGCACGGTACAGTGAACATTTCTTTACTCTATCGCTGCGTGTGACCACTATTTATCGTTCATCGCGTCTAAAGTGAGACGGGCAGTACTCAGTATTGTGACTGGCTTAAGTCAGTGTTTTGCGCACGGTCTTCTACTGATGACATCATTCGTATGACATCATACCTATGACATCATGGAACGGCTTTGCACACGGTACGTAACTACGTCATCACAGAAGTTTGGTTTACTTTTTTCACACGTTACTAATTATTGCGTCATCGA